CGTGTGTTGCATTAGGCATCTTGTAAAGTTAGGATCATGCATTTTTTTAACTAGTTTCTGTTTTAGCTCAGAGTACTAGGTAAGCTTTTACACTTTAGCATACTTGATAAACTGCATGAATGCCTGTGGATGAAGGTTTGTTGTTTGAATTGAAACGATTCAACGAATGTGTGTTTTTAAGCCCACTTTGTTGTGGCAAAATCATGTTTTAAGCCCACTATGTTTGGTGGCAAATTCGCATCTTTAAGCCCACTTGCGAGTGGCAAATTCAAATCATTTTTGAAAACAAACATGAGTTGAGTTGTTCCAATTTGAGCAGACTAGTCTATACTTGCATGTGTGCGTCACATAGTAAAGCTAGTTTAATAACCTGAATAAGAACGCATAGTGTTTATAAAAATGCATATCATGATTAGTAGAGGCCGATATTTGATCGGATGAGCGGGGGTGCTCATTTCAAGACCTTTCCCTCTCGTACCTAAGTTCCCGAGCCAAGGCAACTTTAGTGATGACGGATACGTAGCCTTTGGCACGAGTCAGGGTTTCTTAAATTTCTCAAAAATAAAATATTTAGGTGGCGACTCTGTATCTAAAAAAGCAGTCCAATTTTGGCATTATTTGATTTAAAATCGATTTTTCAAAAAGGTTTGCCGGATTTAGACTCTTTGGTGTTTATCAGTTTCACATTGCACTTGTTAGACTAGATTCAAAACCGCGGGAGTCCGAACTGTGGGGCTTTCTTTTCAAACCCTTTCCGAAAGGCGGGGTGCAGAAAAAGGTGAGTCCATAGTTTCCGGCGGCTCTGTTGGAGATTTAGAGAACTTGACTTGAACTCATGATATGTTATTTTATTTACACTTATGCATTTCTTTACATTGCATTTGCATCGGTGCACCTAAGTCACAGTGTTTTCCATCTGCTATTCCTGAGCGGTTTGCTGAAGGCTTGCTTGGAAAAGCTTGCCAAAAGGCTGGTCGGTTGTGGGCTCTGCCATGATGGGAACACAACCCTTGGATCTGGACTATCGCTATACTGTTTGATCCTCATTTCACTTCTTGGTGTTAGGAGTGAGAGGTATATTAAGTGGTCTTGCCGAGGTACCCTTTTGACTAATCGACCTAGTTGCATATCGGAAGCCATAGAGACTGTTCCAAACTAGGACATGATGCTTACTCGAATGTAGGAATTGTTTGAAACCGCTTGTTTGCGTAGTGAATCCCTAGTTCCTGACGAAATTAGGATAGGGTAACCTTACCCCATTGTAGGGGTGTTTTGGCTCTTACTTAATTGTTACGTGCTTTTAGAGTGAAACTCTGCAGGAGTGTATGTATCAGTTGCAAGTCTGGGTATCAGTTTGAGGGTATCAGTTTTGCGGCAGAAATTAGTGTTTGAGTACAGTTGTTCAGCTTATGATCGCAACTGCGTGTTGTTTTAGTCTGAGCCGAGGTGCTGTGCGGTTTCTGATTTTCGTTTCTTTTGCTTTATTTTCTTTTTACAAGGTAGTCTTTCACGATTGCTTTAGACGAGATTGTTACCCCCCAAGCGCTCTGGACCAGAGTAAGGCGACTTTACTGATCTGGGGCTCTTATAAGAGGACAACCAGTGTTTGTTTCACTACCCCCGGTTACAAGATGAAGGAGAGTCAGGCATAACTCATTGGTTCGTCAGTCACCAATTCAGCAGTCATTGTCTACTTCGTCTGTGCTCAGTCAGGCCCAGTTATCTACTTATACTTCGGAAATAGAGTACGCACCAGTTCCGATAGATCAGTATCCCTTAGTCAACATGGAAGAAATGCTCTGCCAACTCTAACAGACTATTGAGAACATGCAGCTGGATGCTGCCCGACAAGCTGAGACCATAGCTCGCCAAGCCGAGGTTGTAGCCCCCAAGCGGAGGTAATAGAAAGGCTTCAACAACGGCAGCCACAACCTGCAATGACCACAACATCACAAGCACCCCTAGGAGGAGTCCCGACACCCGGGGTTACAATCAATGTCCAGGAGAATGCGGGCATTCAGGCGGACCCCATCCCATCCCAGACTTCCAAAACATTGGCTTACTTAACAAAGGCACTGTTTGAGTTTGAGGTCGACCCTATTGCGTTGAAAGTAAGTAAGCTCGAGAAGCTCTTCAAACGAGCTCAAGGTGTGAATTCGATCCCGGATATTGAGGACGGCTATACAGATTCGGCAGTGACGTTGCCAAATAGGTTTAAAATACTGCACATAGACCCCTTTGATGGCTCGGGTGATCCCATGCTCCACTTACGACTATTCTCAGACATTCTACGGCCAATGTGCCTATTTAGACTGCGGAAGTTATCCCTCTTCGGCCGAACCCTATTGGGTATCGCGTCCATTTGGTATGCCAAACTTGAACACTCTATAAAGAGGAATTGGGAGGAAATGGCTGAGGCCATCATAGCGCAGTACTCCTACAACACTTAGATTGAGGTCACAACTTGTGATCTCGAAACAACTCGCCAGGAGCCGAATGAGGGCTTCTCGGACTTTGTAACCCGGTGGAGGGCCAAGGCCTCCATGATGACCATCCTATTGGCTAAAAAGGACCAGATCAGAATGGTGGTCCGTAACCTACAACCAAGACTATTACAGAAGATGATAGTCTTACCTTTGTCTACATTTGCCGACCTCCATGAAATAGGGGTGCAAATAGAGGATACAATGAAACAGGGTTTGATAGATCACGAGAAAGAACAGCCTAAAAAGGCTGTCACACGCAGTTCCAATGCAACTACAAGTAGTAGTGCAGTTGCAAGGCCTTCTGATGTGGGTATGGTCACCACCACATCGAAAACTGCCAACCCTTTCACCGGCACGGCCAATATAACTCCCCAAACTTCCATCCATCAGGCCCGAGGCTAGAAGGTTTTCACTCCACTCTACATGTCTCTATCTGTGGCCTTGAGGGTCCTGATAATAAAAGGGCATCTGAAACCGTTAGAACAATGCCTATTGTCTGATCCTCTCACTCCTAAACACAACTCGGCTAAGTACTACACCTTTCACCAACAGCATGGTCATTATACCGACTGGTGCTTCAGATTGCGTCATGAGATTCAAGATCTCATTGACAATAAAGTGATAGCGCCTCCTGAAAAATCCAATGTCACAACGACCCCAGTATATACATCACCCCCTCTCACCTACCTAAGCCGACACTGTTCATCTTGAAAAGCATAGATTGGTGCATGATGAACACGCCCACATCTCAACCCAAACCTATGGTGGTGAACATGGTAGATGAAGGCAGGGTGGCCTTGTGGAAGAATGCGCATGTTAGTTCAGTGCCTTGGGGCTCCGTGGACTTGGTCGATGAGGAATACAGCCCATACCGTTACATTGTGCCAACTAGGGGTGTACAAGGGTCGGTTCGGGTTGGGTTGAACCTCTATCCACTACTGAACCAGAATAGTGCGGGTGGGTGAAAAATCAACCGATTCCGACCGGATTTGTTGGCGAAACTGCCCGTAGATGATTTTTGGTTTAACGGTCGGGTTTGGATTGGTTGGGCGGGTTGGGCCTTCAATTTTGGGCCTTTATGAATAAATATTATTTTTAACCCATTTAACATTCAAACAACCCAATTTTATAATTTAGTTATGTTTTGCTTTGGAAAATGACCCAAACAGCCCTTTCTACAGATAAACCCATTAAAAAAAAAAACTTAATAATTTATTTAAAATCAGTCCAAACAGCCCATTATGAATAAATATAAATAACTTGTAAAATAAATCCAAGCATAAACAGCCCAAACTAAAATATTTCATTCATCCAAAAATAAAAAAATAGTTTGGCATAATAACCTATGTAAAATCAATCCAAAAATAGTACAAATTATTGAAGAAAACAGAAAATTGAAGCAGACCTAGATAATCAAAGACCAATGACATACAAAACAAAGCTCACTTTTAGGTTTGCTGAGACTCTAATGGAAGCCCAAGCTCCGGCGGCATGACCTCCTTCGGCTTGGGCACATTCCTCGCAGTGATCGGAATAGCAATAAAAGTCTTGGTTTTGCTAATGGGTCTACTCTTCTCGAGTTGGACATAGTCGCCGACTTTGAACTTGTTATTTGGGTCGTGAGCTTGGAACTTCTTCTTCTTCCTGACCTGTTGCTTGTACTTTGGGTACGAAGCGAGTCGTACCACCTCAACCGCCACGGTCTTATCATTGGTGGCGCAGACGACTCGGCCTTGAAGCGTTTTCATGGCTCGGATAGGGGGGAGGAAAGTGAAGGGAAGGTTTGAGTAAACATTATTAAAACAGTGATGAACCATTAACAAAAAAAATTACAAAATTTTCATAAAATTGTACCTGGGGTTTGGTTGATCGTTGAGTAGAGAACTTTGAAACCTCAATACTTCGAAGTTACATGGTTTTGTTCATCAATAGCCTTGAATCAAAGAGGGTTTTCATAGTTGATCTTTAACATATAAAGTATTTAGGGTTTGAAATTAAAGATTTAGTTCAGATTTATGGGTAAGACCATTAGAGAAACTATGGTTCCAACCGGATTTGTTGGCGAAACTGCCTGTAGATGATTTTTGGTTTAACGGTCGGGTTTGGATCGGTTGGGCGGGTTGGGCCTTCAATTTTGGGCCTTTATGAATAAATATTATTTTTAACGCATTTAACATTCAAACAACCCAATTTTATAATTTAGTTATGTTTTGCTTTGGAAAATGACCCAAACAGCCCTTTCTACAGATAAACCCATTAAAAAAAAAAACTTAATAATTTATTTAAAATCAGTCCAAACAGCCCATTATGAATAAATATAAATAACTTGTAAAATAAATCTAAGCATAAACAGCCCAAACTAAAATATTTCATTCATCCAAAAATAAAAAAATAGTTTGGCATAATAACCTATGTAAAATCAATCCAAAAATAGTACAAATTATTGAAAAAAACAGAAAATTGAAGCAGACCCAGATAATCAAAGACCAATGACATACAAAACAAAGCTCACTTTTAGGTTTGCTGAGACTCTAATGGAAGCCCAAGCTCCGGCGGCACGACCTCCTTCGGCTTGGGCACATTCCTCGCAGCGATCAGAATAGCAATAAAAGTCTTGGTTTTGCTAATGGGTCTACTCTTCTCGAGTTGGACATAGTCGCCGACTTTGAACTTGTTATTTGGGTCGTGAGCTTGGAACTTCTTCTTCTTCCTGACCTGTTGCTTGTACTTTGGGTACGAAGCGAGTCGTACCACCTCAACCGCCACGGTCTTATCATTGGTGGCGCAGACGACTCGGCCTTGAAGCGTTTTCATGGCTCGGATAGGGGGGAGGAAAGTGAAGGGAAGGTTTGAGTAAACATTATTAAAACAGTGATGAACCATTAACAAAAAAAATTACAAAATTTTCATAAAATTGTACCTGGGGTTTGGTTGATCGTTGAGTAGAGAACTTTGAAACCTCAATACTTCGAAGTTACATGGTTTTCTTCATCAATAGCCTTGAATCAAAGAGGGTTTTCATAGTTGATCTTTAACATATAAAGTATTTAGGGTTTGAAATTAAAGATTTAGTTCAGATTTATGGGTAAGACCATTAGAGAAACTATGGATGCATTAGGGTTTCAAAGAGAAATAGGGAGAGAATTCATGAAAGAGAGAGAGAACTTGGGATATTTCTGAAGAAAGTGAGAGCTTGAGAGGGATATATATATAGAGAGAGAGAGGAAAGGGTAGGTGGGTGCTCATCATCATCCACCTGCTGTTTGAGTTTTTTGAGATACAATATGGTTTGAAATTTGTGATTGTGAGAGAGACCATCATCATCTGCCGTTTGATTTTTTGAGATACAAGATGATGGTTTGAAATCTGTGAAAGAGAGAGAGAACTTGGGATATTTCTGAAGAAAGTGAGAGCTTGAGAGGGATATATATAGAGAGAGAGAGAGAGAAAAGGGTAGGTGGGTGCTCATCATCATCCGCCTGCTGTTTGAGTTTTTTGAGATACAATATGGTTTGAAATTTGTGATTGTGAGAGAGACCATCATCATCTGCCGTTTGATTTTTTGAGATACAAGATGATGGTTTGAAATCTATCACTGTGAAACAAAGAGAGACAGAGAGAGGGGAAAAGGGGGTTGGTGAGATCATCATCATGGTCTGTCTTTTGAGTTCTTTGAGATAGAGAGAGATGTCGATAAGGGTGTTGGAAGTTGTGTGTGTGATTTGTCAAATCAATTAGAAAAATACATATAGAACCATCATCAGAATTCTGTATCATTAATTTATTAATAATATATGGTCGGTTCAGTTTTAATTATTTTTTATTATGTAGAACTGAAATCTGATCGAAAAGCAAAATTAATTTTGAAACCAGGCCCGCCTTCAACTGAAACTAAGCTCGAAACCGTCCGTCATGCATTCGGGTCAGTTGGTTCGGGTCGGATTAGTCAGATGATTCGGTTGCTTGAACATCCCTAGTGCCAACCAATTAGTCCAAACCAGAGGTGGAGTTGCTAACAGGGATGGAGGTGAGTGTGGTCTGGAAGGATGGCTCGAGCCAGGGATTAGATGACCTAGCCGATTTGGAGGAAGACATCAACAATCTGCAGTTCTTCGATGAGCAAGATTCGGGAGATGTGCATATTAACTAGTTTGATCTGAACGGATCGACAGACAACTTTGGGTGGCTCAGTGATGAACCTGATGTAGATGGGGGATTTCAACCAAAGCTGGAAGAGCCAGAAGCAGGAACTGCTACAAGGGCCGGAACGGCCGAGGACAAGGGGAAGTTGTCGGAGAGTGTCGGTATTAAGAATTTAGCTCCGGAATCGAGCATCATTAGTACTACTGATACGGAGCCGCACTGAAGTGGTTTGAACAGAAAAGGGATGAAAATAGTCAGAAAGCCAAACACCCTGCGTGTGATGACTGTGATATAAGAGTAATTATAACGGAACCGGACAATTGCTTGTCAGTTGTCGGAGGAGTATGGTGGGAAGATGATGATCTGCATCTTGCCCACACTGATGAGGATTGGGGTCAAGACTTGCCAGACGACACTTGGTACTCTGAGGAGTGGATCATATGACTAGAAGCGGACGGTATTTCAAGCCCCCACATTTGGACCACCCTGAAGCATCCGAAACCGACCTGCGAGCAGCCCTAGGACAATTGCTTGTCAGTTGTTGGAGGAGTATGGTGGGAAGATGATGATCTGCATCTTGCCCACACTGATGAGGATTGGGGTCAAGACTTTCCAGACGACACTTGGTACTTTGAGGAGTGGACCATATGACTAGAAGTGGGCGGTATTTCAAGCCCCCACATTTGGACCACCCCGAAGCATCCGGAAAGGACAAGGAGGCTGAAAGACAGAGGGAAAAACTGTTAGAGGAAGAGGCTGTGCTGAGGTAGTTGAAGAAGATTCAAGCAGACATATCTATCTGGGGGTTGCTTATGGCTTCGCCAGTACACAGGCAAGTTGTATTGTCGGCAATGGATAAGGCCAAACTGTCTATCGACACAGCTCCAGAGTAACTAGTGGGACTTGTCTTCCCGAGAAGTGCTTCACCCACTCTGACCTTCTCAGATAAGGAATTACCACCCGAAGGCTCTGCGCATAACAAACCGCTATATATCTCAGTTGAGTGTAGAGAGAAGTGGGTGCCAGTTGTATTGGTGGACACTGGGTCTGCAATTAATGTTTGTCCGTCTCGCACAGCCTATGCTATTGGCTTAAAGCCAGTGGATTTTGTACCAATGGCCCAGGTGATCTGGGCTTACGACAATACAAGCAGAGAAGTGGTGAGAGCAGTACAAGTCAGAGTATAAGTTGGCCCGGCTCAACAGGATATTGAGTTCCACATCCTGGATGTTCTGGCCACTCTCAACTTGTTACTTGGGCGACCCTAGCTGTACCAAGTAAAAGTTGTTTCTTCTGTCTTTCATCAAATGCTAAAGTACCCTCTTGGAAAGGGAATAGCCATTGTGTTCGGGAATTCATCCATACATCCTTCGCCAAAGGTTACTACACTCGTATTAGAGATTGTACATGGCGATGAGGATGTTTTCTTGTCTGGTTTTACCTTGGCTGAGGCCCAGATGGTACAGAATATCCTAGTTGTTGAAGAGGGCTTGTACGTCAGTGCTCAATCAGTGTATCTCATGAACAAGCTACAACATATACCCGGGATGGGATTAGGAAAGAGGCCGAAAAGGCGTTACTGCACTGGCCGAAATGCCACATAACCCTCATGCCTTTGGTTTGGGCTATACGTCCACCAAAAGAGGACTGGGTTCGGAAAGGGAAGGAAATGGCAGGAAGAGCCAAAGCTAAACAAAGTGAAAAACACTATGAACTTGTGCACAGGCCAATTCAGGGAACTCTGAATGGCCACTTTGTCCGGGAAGGGGAAGACTTCCCATTTTGCGGCTTTCCTAAACCATGGTTGAATTCTGAGAAGCGGCGTCTACCCGATTTTGAGATTTTCTTCGATTTACAGCTGCAAGAGGATGAAACCTCAGAGGAACATACTGACTTGCCTGCTGAGGCTGAACAGAGTACAGAGGATGAGTCCAACAACAGTGAACTTAAGATAGGAGCAGCTCTGGCATGTCTCCTTTCGGATCCTCAGATCAAATCGGAGAGCTTGGGGGATGACTTCACCGTTTCCATGATCAGAGACCAATTGGGTGTGGACCCTTCCAGTGGTATTCTTGATACATCTAACGTACCCTCTCTCATTTGGCAGCTAGAGGAGGGCTTTCTATCCAGTAGTTCTGAATCAGGTAGTGAGCCGGAATCTGATTCCACAGAGTCTGTGGAGTCAGAATTAGATTCCAGTTCTTCTGAGTCAGAGTCTGGTATTCCTAGGGTTGATAACCCGGATGTCGTTGTTTTGTCCAGGTCGTCTTTTTCCTTTTCTTTTGAGTCGGTTGTAACCGAGGAATTGGATGAGCCGGAAGCTTTGAATGAGAATGATACCATTGTTGTTTCTGAGTACTTCTCTGTGCCACTTGTATATTGCATTGATCATGACTTTCAAGATTTTGATAAAAACAACGAGGAAGGAATTCCTCTGGTTTTGAAATATTTGATTGATCAAGAGGAGGAGAGGTTTGTAAAACCCCTTGTTGATGAAATCGTTGCAATTAATGTGGGTACTGAGAAGGATCCGCGTCTAGTCCAGATCAGGTCCATGTTGTCTTCAGAGGAACATGAGCGCTTAGTCGCTTTATTAAAATATTTCAAAGATGTTTTTGCGTGGTCCTATGAAGACATGCTTAGAATCGATCCTGAGATTGTACAGCATCGGATCCCTTTTGACCCTGAGGCCCGACCTGTCAAGCAGAAGCTTTGGAGAATACGCCCGAATTGGGCTTTGAAAATCAAGGAGGAGGTCACCAAGCAAATAGATGCAGGATTTTTGCTAGTAGTTGAGTATCCTACTTGGTTGGCCAACATTGTTTCGGTGCCGAAGAAAGATCACATAATTCGGGTGTATGTGGATTTTAGAGATCTGAACAAAGCTAGTCCAAATGACGACTTTCCTCTACCGCACATCGATGAATTGGTGGACTTCACCTCAGGCCATGCGTTGCTCTTCTTTATGGATGGATTTTCCGGCTACAACCAAATTTTGATGGCACCCGAGGATAGAGAGAAGACTGCCTTCACCACGCCGTGGGGGACTTACTGCTACAGGGTGATGCCGTTCAGTCTAAAGAATGCTGGGGTTACTTATCAACAGGCTGCAACCATTGTCTTACATGATATGATCCACAAAGAGGTCGAGGTGTACGTAGATGACATGATTGTCAAGTCCAAGGAAAGAGAGGGCCACCACATCGCCTTGAAGAAATTCTTCCATCGAATCAGAGAATATCTGTTGAGGCTGATTCTACAGAAATGCACTTTTGGTGTCACAGCAGGGAAAATGCTGGGGTTCTTGGTTACACAGAGGGGTATCGAGGTTAATCCTTCCAAAATCAAGGCCATCTTAGAAATGTCACCACGAAGGACTGAAAAGAAGGTGCGAGGCTTTCTGGGTCAAGTGCAATTCATAAGACAGTTTATTGCAAAATTAACCTTAACTTGTGAACCACTATTTGGTCTCCTGAAGAAAGGAAAGAAATTCCAATGGCACGACCGATGTCTGTTTACTTTTGAGCAGATCAAGCAGTATCTCTAGAACCCACTCGTGTTGTCGTCACCGCTAGAGTCAGGAAAGCTGTTGATTTTGTATCTGTCAGGAACCGACATGACTATGGGCTACATGCTTGCGCAAGAATTTGAGGATAGGGTGGAGAAAGCCA